CTACCACCCCAGGTCAGGGTGAACCTGGGAACAACATCATTTAATAGATGGTTCCATGTCCCTCAAAACCTCCAATCTCACCATCAGAGAACTTGCTGCTGGATATAGTTTATCATCATACCCAGAACTAGTGGAATTTGAACTCAGCTCAGTGGTTTCTCTTTCTGACTTGTTAACGAATTACACCACCTGTTTGAATGGGTCGACTTTCTGTGCTTTTTTTTCTTCCTCTCTTCAGACTGGTCAGCTTTCAGCCATTTTTCTTCCTTTTGAACCAATTAAATTTTTAACCTAAAAATATTTTCCTATATTTTTTACTCCCACTTTTATTTATTGTAAACATGTTAAGTGGTGCATGCAAAATAAATAACATACCCGCTGGAGGAGTGGGATGGGGCAAAAGTATTATTGATACGTACATATTGAAGGAGAGCATAGCTGTAGATTTCAGTCGACAATACTTGGCCAGCAATCCTTATTCTCATATGACCTTTACTCGGGCCCTGAGCTGACTTTGTGTTTTATCAGGAATAAACAATAAAACCGTACACCCATTGTGCAAACTTACTGAATATGACATGGTTTGCATACTTCAAATTTTTACTTTGAAAGCTGGTGCTGTTTGTAACAGTGTAGACCCGACATTGGACGAGGGGCTGTTTTCTGTGTCGATTAGCCAAGATGAATTATTTTTGGAATGACTTAACAAACGGGACTGTTTAAGAGTGAACCTTTCTTTTTCTTTTTTAATTTTTTTTTTTTCTTTTAAATTTTTTCTTTCTACCAACTAAATGACAGCTCTTGATATCACCTGGAATAAGTTGTTGTGTACTGAGATTAGAGATAATTTTGAATGACCTTCATAATTTTACGTTAGGTGAGAATGTTGTTTCATGAAAGCATGTATATCTAGCCGAAGTTGATGTTTGAAAAGTTTGAATTGGTTTACATTTTATGCACTATGCTAACTTTCTTAGAAAAGGGCAGATATTATCAAAGTTGGTTACTCATTAATCAAATATTGATTATTGATAAGCCGTTTTTTCAGATTTCTTCTCTTTTTATCTAAGATGATCACAGTAAACCTGGAAATATTAACAAAATCAAGAAGACTTGATTGTTTACTAATCAAATATTGAATAGCTATACGCCTGTCTTTTATACTAGCTTTCGTCCTTTCTCTGTGTTGATAATGTTGGGAAGATGACGGTGTATTGGACTAGGTAATGTTGGGTATTGATGTATTATTTCCTACCCCCATTGTTATTATTTTCTGACTGTAATGGGGTTGATATTAATGACAGAAATTAAAATGCATGCATGTAAAATGAATAACAACAATAAAAACTTGAGACACATTTTGACATAAATATCAAGAATTAAAATTTTTTTTGAGATGTGAATTAAGGAATATTGGCATGGTGTGTGTAAAAATGTTTTCAGTGTGTCTTTAGTTTAAAAGTCAATGCTTACTTGGTTTGGTTCTGAAAATTTCATTTGTGAGATTGGCGTTTCACATGGTTTGGTTCCAGGAATTTCGTTTGTGAGGATGGCATTTGACATGGTCTCATTCCAAGAATAAGAAATTTCAAATCTTCCTAAGTGTAGATCAAGTGTGGCACAAGTCTAGATTTCAATTTTCAGATGGATCATAATAATTAAGTTAATGATTGTCCCTTGTGTGCTCCTTGACTATAAAGCACCTGTAGAAATTCCTTTATTGCCTCGTTAAATATTTGAGCTCAACAGCTTTAACAAAATATTGCAATAACAATCATAAATATAAATGCAGGGGATTATTGAAAGAAGTAAGGGGGTACAAATAAAAAGATTTGAAATTGATAAGTTTTCTATTTCACTAAAACAGAATTGAACACATGAAAACATTATCTGTTACCTCCTTTCTTTCCCCTTTTTTTTTTCACCATTCTCTCTTTCGTTGCTTTTCTTTCATCCCTCTCTTTGTTGCTTTTCTTTCATCCCTCTCTTTGTTGCTTTTCTTTCATCCCTCTCTTTGTTGCTTTTGTTTCATCCCTCTCTTTGTTGCTTTCGTTTCATCCCTCTCTTTGTTGCTTTCGTTTCATCCCTCTCTTTGTTGCTTTCGTTTCATCCCTCTTTCTTGCTTTTTCTTTCGGCCTTTCCCTTTTTAATCCATTTCTTTCTATCCTTGCAACCAAACTGGCTGTTTATCTGAGCTAATGGCAAGGTGTAATGTACGTGCTAACTAAGAAACAATCAGAGATATATGATGAGGATCTTACGATAGGAAATCCAGATGGAACTTATTGTCAGTGGTCAGTAATTAAAATACATATATGTATTTTTGTTAGAATAATTCACAGCTACCCAAGTGTTGGCAAATTATGCTCTCTAACTGCACTCTACTACCAGCTGTTCACAAGTTTCAGACCCAAGCTATCCCTATTGTTTTCACATGTTACAGATTTAGCTTACACCAGCACTGCACATTTTCATGAAGAAATATGCATGTATTCTGTTTATAAATACTTCCGTTTTCCTATGTGATTCTTTTGCAGCTGTTTTGAAGCATGTTGAAAATGTTGCGAGAGATAAATGGGTGTTATCAAGAAAATCATTATACATTTGGTTACAGCAATAGAAAATTTTGTTGTTCATATGTTTAGGACTCTTATTTTTAAAGCAGGCCCACCATAAAAAACAAAATGGGTGTGTCTTAGAGAGCCTTTTTTTTTTTTATTTTACTTTCTGTGGCTGATGCTAACCATCAGGAAAACGTGTTTTCTCAGGCTAATGTTTTCTGTTGACATGAAATGAAAAGATTATATTGAATCAGTTGCTAGGTCTGCTGCTCAGAAACTTGATTCACTGTGTTGTGCTAGATACTTTTTTTCATAAGAATCTATCTTACATATTTATAAGTCTACCATTTGTCCGTACATTGAATATTGCTACCACATCTGGTCTGGTGCTTCTGCTATGTATCTAGAGATTCTTGACAAAATCCATTGAAGAATCTGCAGTGTTATCAGTCCTGGCATCTTGGCTTCGGTCACTTTACCAACATTTATAAATCTACCATTCATCCATGCATTGAATATTGCTGTCACATCTGGTCTAATGCTTCTGCTATGGATCGAGGGATTCTTGAGAAAATCCATTGAAGAATCTGCAATATTATCAGTCCTGGCATCTTGGATTCAGTCACTTTCCCCACATTTACAAATCTACCATTTGTCTGTGCATTGGATATTGTTGCCACATATGGTCTGATGCTTCTGCTACATATTTAGAGACTCTGCAATGTCATTTGTCCTGATCTGGCATCTTGACTTCAATCACTTTACCACTGTCAGAACATAGCGTCCCTCTGCCTTTTCTATAAATATTTTCATGGTTATTGTTCTGGTGAGCTTTCCTCTTTGGTACCTAGACTTTATGAATTTAAACCATAATATAGCTTCCCTATAGCCTTTTCTATAAATATTTTCATGGTAATTGTTCTGAGGAGCATTCCTCTTTAGTACCTTGACTTTATGAATATAATCACAATACAAGATTAACAGCTAGGTCTCCTCATTTTACAGTTGAAATGCCAAGATAGAACTGTAAGTTCTATGCTAACAGTTTCTTCTCTCTCTCACTTCTCAATTGATGAACTCTCTTCCAGTTTCTTGCTTTCCAGTCCTCAAATATTTAAATGCAATTTCATTCATTATCTTCTGTCTTCTTAATTCCTTTTTTTATTGTTCTCTCTCTATTAATGCTTTCTTTTTCTCATAGTCTTCACATTCAGTAACCTTTTGCACCTTAGTGGCTTTATTGCCTTGTTTGGGATAAAATGAAAAAAAAAAATTCTCTTACAAAAGAATCAAGAGATGCAGCATTTAAGAAAAGAACTGTGCAACTTCTACCTTGTAGTTTGAGTGTGTTTCTCCAATTAATACATTTTGTTTGCTAAAGCAAGCAGCTTGAAATTATTTCTGTTTTACTTCCTTCATCTCCGCACCAACCGCCTTTCTCCCCCAACAGATCAACCTCCAACCAACAGATCGGCCTTCTCCCCCCCCTCCAACCAACAGATCGGCCGTCTCCCCCCTCAACCAACAGATCGGCCTTCCCCCCCCAACCAACAGATCGGCCTTCTCTAAAACCAACCAACAGATCGGCCTTCTCTAAAAACCAACCAACAGATCGGCCCTCTCCCCCCCAACAAACAGATCGGCCTTCTCTCCTCCCCAACCAACCAACAGATCGGCCTTCTCTCCTCCCCCACAACAGATCGGCCTTCTCTCCCTCCCATAACCGACAGATCGGCCTTCTCTCCCCCCCGCAACTAACAGATGCTGCTTTCTCCACCTATCAATATATCTGTTACTGCTCTCTTGGCGACCACTATATCTGACTTCTCATTGTGCCAACCAAAAGAACTGCCTTTTCTGCACCCATCAATATATCAGTGAGAAGATCTGTTGGTTGGTGGCGAGAAGGCAGATCTGTTTGCATTCTCCCCGCCTCACTGACCAGTTTATCTGCTTTTCACTCACACCATACCTGTATGTCTGTCTTCTCATCTTTCTGTCCCACCACCGATCAGTATGACTGCTTTTTTGCTCCCCTCAACCAATATATCTGCCTTTTCTCCACACTAATATGTATACCTCCAATATATTTAGCTTATTAATATTTTTGCCTTTCTCATGCACCCCCTCCTACTTTTCTACCTCAAAATATAACCTTTGACATTAAATATCAAGTGAACAATGAGCAGTTTAAGTGCTAGACGATATTTTAAACGGGCTCATAAAGTAATGTCACAATGAAGTGACGTATTTTTTTAAAATCTAATGTCTTTTTCTCTTCTCTTTTCTTTTTTTTTTTTTTTTTTAAGGTGTAAATGTAATGGTCATGCCAAGGCTTGTATCAAACACAATGACCACCTTGTGTGCCAGTGCGAACACAACACAGCTGGCAGGGACTGTGAAAAATGCAGTAATTTTTATAACGACCGACCCTGGAAGATGGCTACAGAGACTGATGCCAATGAATGTTTGCGTAAGTAAACCCTAGCCTTTACTTGTTTCAAACTGTTAGAATTTGCAAACAAGACTTTTTATTATAACTCTCCACAACCTTTCTACGTACAGCAGGAAGGCCTCTGATAAGGAAGTTTTGATGAGCGTTGAACCACCTCTTAATTGCTGTTCCCAGGTTCACCCTAACCCTGGGTGGTATCACCTGTTAATCTCAAGTATGGGCAAATAATTAATCTTTTAGATTGGTGTCTCGTCCTGGGTAAGACATTAAACTACATCTGCATCCTGAGTAAAGCATTAAAATACATCCAGCAGCAAGGCCTATGATCAGGTGGTTTTGAGGAGCGTGGAACCACCTCTCAGTTGCTGGTGTTTCCAGGTCCACCCTGACCCAGGGTGGTAGCACCTGTTAGAGTCCCAACAATGGGCAAATAGTTAACTATTACCAGCAATACTTTTTTGAAAAAAAATTATTACCAGCAATACAATTTTGAAGGAAAAATATTACCAAAAACAGATTTTCGACAAAACAAAATATTACCAGCAATAAAAAATTCTGTCAGTAATCCACTGAGGTTGATATGCTGTAAAACAAAATAAACCAAACCAATCTAAACTAATGAATACATATTCTATTCATACGAATTTATCCTAAAAATGTTGTCGGCATTAAATAACCCATTGAGGTTGATATGCCGTAAAACAAAATAAACCAAACCAATCTAAACCAAAGAATACATATTCTATTCATACAAATCTATCCAAAACATGTTGTCGGCATTAAATAACCCATTGAAGTTGATATGCCGTAAAACAAAATAAACCAAACCAATCAGATTGGTGTCGAAACACTATGAAAGTACAAAAATACATTTTCATAGTAAAAAAATTAACCGCAATGCATTTTAAGAAAAAAAAAAATTTCCAGTAATACCTTTTTTTAAAAAAAATACCAGTAATACACCCCCTGTTCTGCCAAACATTTATGCTCATTCTCACTAAGTATGTTATGTGTTGTTTTCCTCTGTCCCTCTCACCCTCTATTTGTCCTGTAAGTATCAGATTTTCCAAGCCCTCTTTCCTCATTATATACCCCAGAAGCCTCACCAGTCTCTTTCTACATCTCAACTGTCTTGTACTCTTATTTTTATAATAGAAGTCCCAACAATGCATTTTACTAGTAAAGCAATTACCAGTAATACATTTTTGTAAAAAAAAAATTAAAAAATTTAAAAAAATACATTTTTCTTAAAGAAAAAAATGATAAGAAATACATTTTTCTTAAAGAAAAAAAAAATAAGAAATACATTTTTCTTAAAGAAAAAAAAAAAAATACATTTTTCTTAAAGAAAAAAAAAAATTTTTTCTTAAAAAAAAAAAAAAATACATTTTTTTTAAAAAAAAAAAAAAAAATACATTTTTCTTAAAAAAAAAAAAAAAAGAAATACATTTTTTTAAAAGAAAAAAAAAATACATTTTCTTAAAATAAATTTTTCTTAAAAAAAAAAAAAAAAAATACATTTTTCTTAAAAAAAAAAAATTTTTTCTTAAAGAAAAAAAAAAAAAATACATTTTTCTTAAAAAAAAAAAAAAAAATACATTTTTCTTAAAGAAAAAAAAAAAACATTTTCTTAAAAAAAAAAAAAATACATTTTTCTTAAAAAAAAAAAAAAAAAATACATTTTTCTTAAAGAAAAAAAAAAATTTCTTAAAAAAAAAAAAAATTTTTTTTCTTAAAGAAAAAAAAAAAAAAAAAAAAAAAAAATACATTTTTTTAAAAAAAAAAAAAAATACATTTTTCTTAAAGAAAAAAAAAAAAAGAAATACATTTTTCTTAAAGAAAAAAAAAAAAAAAAATTTTTCTTAAAGAAAAAAAAAAAAATACATTTTCTTAAAGAAAAAAAAAAAATTTTTTTTTGAAAAAGAAAAAAAAAATACATTTTTTTTTAAAGAAAAAAAAAAATACATTTTTCTTAAAGAAAAAAAAAAAGAAATACATTTTTCTTAAAGAAAAAAAAAAAATTTTTTCTTAAAAAAAAAAAAAAAAAGAAAAAAAAAAAAATACATTTTTTTAAAGAAAAAAAAAAAATACATTTTTCTTAAAGAAAAAAAAAAAAAATACATTTTTCTTAAAGAAAAAAAAAAAAAGAAATACATTTTTCTTAAAGAAAAAAAAAAAAATACATTTTTATTAAAGAAAAAAAAAAAAAAAATACATTTTTCTTAAAAAAAAAAAAAAAAAAAAATTTTTTCTTAAAAAAAAAAAGAAACATTTTTCTTTCTTAAAGAAAAAAATCAGAAATACATTTTTCTTAAAAAAAAAAATGATCAGAAATACATTTTTTCTTAAAGAAAAAAATGATCAGAAATACATTTTTCTTAAAGAAAAAAAAAAAAGAAATACATTTTTCTTAAAAAAAAAAAAAAAATACATTTTCTTAAAAAAAAAAATGATCATTTTTTCTTAAAGAAAAAAAAAATGATCAGAAATACATTTTTCTTAAAGAAAAAAAAATGATCAGAAATAAATTTTTCTTAAAGAAAAAAAAAATGATCAGAAATACATTTTTCTTAAAGAAAAAAAAAATGATCAGAAATACATTTTTCTTAAAGAAAAAAAAAATGATCAGAAATACATTTTTATTAAAAAAAAAAAAAATGATTAAAAAGAAAAAAAAAATGATCAGAAATACATTTTTCTTAAAGAAAAAAAAAATGATCAGAAATACATTTTTCTTAAAGAAAAAAAAAATGATCAGAAATACATTTTTCTAAAATAAATTACTAATGTGCCTGAGAAAATTAAATTTTGGCATTAAATGACCCATGAGAAGTTGATATACCATTAAACAAACACAAACAAAAGAACCTCCTATACATTATGGTTCTAAAACAAAGTTCCTTTACTATCCTTCTCGGTGCCTCTTTTGTCATCAATTTAAACAAACATCTTAGATAGGGGCCACTTGCTGTTTCTCAGGGCCCATCTTGCCTTCAGAGTCAAATTCACTTAGACTTCCACCCTTGTAATATTATTTGTTTTCTAATCATTTCACCCCCAAAAGCAGTAACGAGAACAATAGAAGAAGAGTAATCAAGAAGACGGTAGATAATAGACATTGCATTTAAATTTGTTTTCTAATCATTTCACCCCATGCAAGGCAGTACAGCCACTAAGACACAATGAGTCACTGAGTGTGAAAGAATAAGAAAAAAGAGAAACATTATTAAGGAGTGAGAACAATAGAAGAAGAGTAATTAAGAAGACAGTAGATAATGATTGACATTGCATTTATATTTGTTTTCTAATCATTTCACGCCATGAAAGGCAGTAAAGCCACTAAGATGCAAGAGGGTTACTGAGTGTGAAAGAATAAGAAAAAAGAGAAACATTATTAAGGAGCAAGAATTTTGAGAAAAGAAACTTTTAGCGTAGACCTTACTGGGTGTGAGAGAATTGGAAAACAGAATCATTATTGAGGAGTGAGAACAATAGAAGAGTAATTAGCAAGAAGATAACGATTGACATTGCATTTAAATTTTTGGAGGTCAAAGTTGGTCAAAAAACATGGAGATGGAAGATAGTTCCACAAGTGAGAAGTGCAAGAAAAGAAATTGTTTGCCTAGAATTTATGGTTATAGTTAGCAAATTCAACTGTAAAATGAGATCTTGTTACCAATCTGGTACGGTGCTTAAATTCATAAAGTCTAGGTACCATAGCGAAAGGCTCATCCGAGCAATTACCATGAAAGTATTTATAGAAAAGACACAGGTAAGTAACTTAATGGCGGTGGGAAAGTGACTGAAGCTGTGATGCTAGGTTGGGACTGATAATATTGCCACCTTCTGCACGCTACTGTGTCTAGCCAATTCAAGTGTAAATTGATAAAACCTTATTGCCAATCTAGTACTGTGCTAAAATTCATAAAGTCTAGGTACCATAGCTATTTATATATTTTTATATATAAGTATTTGTCGCCTTATTTGAGTCCAGAATCAATATACAACATATGTTCCATACCCTGTATTTGTAAATTTATTCATTTAGGATTAAAACCCCAAAATTCTAGCTTCAGGATTGTCTTATGTAACAATAGCTAAGAGGATTGTGGGATAGGGTAATTTGGTCATATAGTAATTGAGAGTTCAATACTTAGGTCAAGTAATGCAGATGTACTTGGACACAGTGGAAACAGGACCAACCAAGTCTGGTACAAGGGTTTAGTGCCCAGTGATATGCAGAGGTTTAGTGATGGCTAGGGCCAACTTCTTGATTGTATGCCCCTAAAACTCGAGTACTGAGAAATGTGAGAAAGGAAGACATTTCAAGTGTAAATTGATGTGACCTAATTGCCAATCTAGTACTCATAGTGAAGGGCTCATCTGAGCAATTACCCTTAAAGTATTTATAGAAAAGCATAGGGAAGCTGTGTTACAGTAATGGAAAAGTGATTGATGCTGAGATGCCAGGTCAGGACCAATAATATTATCAAGATTCTAAATATATAGCAGGAGCACTGGACCATATATAGCCATGATATTCAAAGCATGGAAAAACTGTATCTTTTGTTAGACTGACAAGGTATTTGGTTAAGTTTATTATTGTATTTATCCTTGTATGTGAACTCAATGAATTATATACAAAAAGAAAATATTAGTTTGCTTGTAAGAAAAATACAATAAAAAAATGTTCATAACTGTCGTCTTTATGAAAACATATTAAAGACAGTCATGGCCTAAATACACACCTGTGTCTCTTGATACATAGTCCCATTCATATATCCTAAGTACAAGTCTATTTTCTTTTTATTCTCTTCTTTCTGAACATTGGGTTCACCCCCTCAAAGCCTGCATCTGTAAACATAAGAGAGACCTCTGTTGGGACGACCCACTGAACTCTCTTGTAACACAGAAATGAATCGGGCCATGACATTGATTTTAAAAAAAAAAAAAAAATATTGCCCTAATAAAAAAAAAAAAAAAAAATGCTTATTATGAAGAAAATATCTAGAGGGAATATTAATGTACTTCCATTGATAAACACATGCCAGATATATTTTTTCATATCATCAACATTCATAAACCCCATACTTAAAGAATGAAAGATCCAGATACCTGCAGATTATCTAACTCAAGAAATTCACACAAACACAGCTTTATTTGAATCAAAATTATGGTCATACTCATTATGGTGAGTAACTAATTCATTGAGTAAAAAGATCTCTTTAAAAGATCACTTTTGCGTTCATATAATCTTTCATTTAATTCCTTGAGGTTTCACCAATATATTTCTTGTGGCAATCATTATAAAATACAGACAGATGAACAATCTAGTCAACTGGTAATATTTAACATCCCCCCCCCTCCATGAGGGTATATGTGGCACAAGGCCGGTTTATTGTGAGTTCCCCGAGTCCATAGGCTCAGCCCAAAATATTCCCTTTGAACTCACCTAAATGGCTTCAGTGACTGTCTACCTCCCCGGATGAAACTTTGCCCTGCGGCAAAGCCTTGACCGAGTTCCTCTCTGCCAAGGTGGAGAGTTTGACAGTTGAACAATCTATGCGACTATTCCCCCAAGGTCTTCTCTCCCGCTAATCTTATAATAGGCAGAAGAGTCCAACATAGACTCTATAGAAGGAGGACACCACAACAGTTATTATAATTAATTTATGTGCGTGAGTGTGGGAGGTTTGCTTTTTAGAAGTACATATGGTAAATTTTTCCTTACTAGAATCACCTTACTACTCATTGATCCATTAATTATTTTAATGACATAAATGTATTATTAAGTGATAAGGTCAACCATTTTGGTATCAATTTTTAAAAATATAATTTTAATATTTTTCTGTCTTTTTTTTTTTTTTTATTTCTTCTAGAATGTAATTGCAATGGGAAATCGCATGAGTGTTACTTCAACCAGACACTTTATGATTTAACTGGCCATGGTGGTTATTGTATAAATTGCCGTGATAATACAGCTGGCCCCAATTGTGATCAGTGCAAAGTGAATCACTACCTGAAGAAGCCTGAGCATATGTGTATGCCATGTAATTGTGATGCGACAGGTAAGTCTTTCATTTCTTATTTTAATTCCAGGTATGTTCAGTCATTAAAAATTGGGTACGACTTAAGTAGAATGGTTCTCTAATAAAAAAAAAAAAAAAAAAAAATGGGGGGGGAAATATTTTTGTTTCTTTTCAGCCTTCATTAAGTTACGACACTTATCAGAATTGGAAAATATTGATTTATCATTTTGAAGGCTTCTGGCCATATGTTGAAACCTCTGTTTTCGTACGATCACCAAAGTTAAGCAATGTCAAGCCTGATCAATATCTAGATGGGTGACCATTTGCGAATACCGGGTGCTGTAAGCTTGGTTGTGTCAGTGTCTTGGAATTGGAAATCAGAACTCTACTTCTGGTCAGGTTTGCTATACTCATTTATGTTCAAATACCATTGCAGAAAGGTATGAATCCACCTCTTTCCTCCCCAGCTATGGGTTAAATAGTAGGACCTGTATCAGTAAAAAATCATTATTCTCTCCAAAAAATTCTTAGTCTATAAAAACTATTTCACTTGTTGGCTATTGTGGTATGGGGTGGGGCTTCCTTGATGCAGCAGCAAAGGAAATAATCAGCTGGGTACAACTGGAAGACCTAGGGGTCATTAAAGCGTTAACCGAGCCATATTCGGTCTCTTTTCACTGCCAGCTCTCTTTTATCCATTTTCTAATTCAGCAGCCTCTATATCCAAGGCTTGCTTATTCCCATTTTTCCATTTTAAGTGGTCTCTACCTTTTAAGCTCAGCTCAAAAGGCTACGTACAATCCTTGCTGCAGAAGACAGTGCCAGTCCTGGATGCTTGTTCCTCCTGTGGTTACTGGTAGAGAACTGTCCCTTCGAGACCAAAGGAAAATTATGCACAACCTTTGCTGCAAAAGACGTGGCCTCTCCTAGCAGTTTCACAGTTAGATTTCTCATTCTTCTTATGGGAAATAGTGAAGAAATCTCTCTTAACAAAAACAAATACAATACTCAAGAGCTTTACTAACTGGGGAAACTCAATTTTTTTCCCTGCAAAATGCTACTATTTTGCACTCCTTTTTCAACCAAAAATAAAAGCTGTTGAATAGTTATTTTTTAGCTTTGGGTTTTTGTTCTTTAGTGATGTCAACGAACACTCTTTGCCACTTATGTAATGTCAACAAATACTCGTTGTCACTTTAGGAATGCTCATTGTAGTAGAGACTTTGTAATCGCAGATACAACTATAGTAACGCCGTTGAACAATACTGGTGTCAAACACCTTCGAATAGCACTCGCACTAATAGTACTTGCTCGATAATACTCGCTCGAAAAGTAACTATCAAATAGTGATCTGAATAGTAATCCATATAGTGATCCCTTAGACGCCACACTAATTCCCATATATTCATTTCCTTTATTATCACATGATCTACTTATTCAAAATGGGATCGCCTGTGTTTGCTATCTGGTGATCTGTGTTCAAACTCCAGTATCGGCAGTGACACTTTATGCATGGAATGAACATGTTATATAGGAATAAACACATGTGCAACCGAGGGGGGGGTCAACAAATCTAAAAAATTTTCTGGCTTTAAATAACCTTCAAGAGGTTAAGATGTAAAAAAAAAAAAAAAAAAAATCAACCAACCAATTATTTTAAAAGTGGTGGGGGCTGTTTATAATATTAGTACAGTTTAAAATTGATCCCTGAATTTTTACAGAGTTATCAGAACATTATTGCTTGTTTCCAAATGTCAAGTTTAAAACTCTGCTTTCATCATTGGTATTTGTGTATAAAAGCTAAACTTTTTTACATAAAGAATTCTTTTAAATAAGGATTTTTCAGTGTGCTCATGTTGCTACTGAATGTGACACAAGGTCAAGGTTTAAAGTGGGTTTAAAATGGTAATAGTGTGGAAAAATTGGTCAAAACCTTTGGTATTTCCCCTCAGGTGCTGGGTAATTACCCAGACCTCTCTTGGAGCTTGACCTGATATTATTTTGAAACTACTTGAACTCAAGCTGGGGAAATAACAAACATATATTTTTATGGGTTTTATTTTAAGAAAATATTTTAAACAATTATTTGCTTATTTACACTATTGTTATGGTGACCTATCTACATGAGAATGAACTCTTCCTCCTTCATAAATAATATTCCTAACCTTGAGACTTCCTGATAGATCTTGATATATGGGAGGCAAGTTCCTAAGGAATCAGGATGCAGTGTAACCTGATAGATCTTGATATTTGGAGGTGTTTCTCTTATGGTGACCTCTCTACATTAGAATGAACACTTCCTCCTTCATAAATACCTAACCCAGTCAGAGACATCCTGATAGATCTTGGATATATGGAGGCAAGTCAGGATGCAGTGTAACCTGATAGATCTTGATATTTGGAGGTGTTTCTGTTATGGTGACCTATCTGATATTAGATATTTGAACTTCTTCCTCCTTCATAAATGAACTAACCTCCTTCATAAATACATCCTAAGGGAGGCAGTCAGGACACAGTGTAACCTGATAGATCTTGATATATGGAGGGTGTTCTGCAAGACTTCCTAAGGGGGCAGGGCAGTCATGGAGGTGTGACTTCCTAAGGGGGCAGTCAGGACACAGTGTAACCTGATAGATCTTGATATTTGGAGGTGTTTCTCTTATGGTGACCTTCTACATTAGAATGAACACTCCTCCTTCATAAATACAACCTGTCAGGATGGACGCAGTGTAACCTGATAGATCTTGATATATGGAGGTGTTCTGCAAGACTTCCTAAGGGGGCAGTCAGGATGCAGTGTAACCTGATAGATCTTGATATTTGGAGGTGTTTCTCTTATGGTGACCTATCTACATTAGAATGAACACTTCCTCCTTCATAAATACTAACCTGCGAGACTTCCTAAGGGAGGCAGTCAGGACGCAGTGTAACCTGATAGATCTTGATATATGGAGGTGTTTCTCTTATGGTGACCTCTTTACATTAGAATGAACACTTCTTCCTTCAAAATACTGTTTGACGGACACTCACTATCTGCTGACTAATAATGCTCTTATTTTGTATATATGTTCTGTTATTTCAATACACGTGTTCAATCTACTTTCTTCTTTCCATGTCTTTCTTTCTGGCCTCTAACAGGCCACAAACAACTATTTACATTGTTCAGACTCTTGTCCTCATCTTTCTTACTACATTCACAGTGTTTCGGCTATTGTACGCTCCAGACTTCATCAGAATCTGTCTATATTTCTGAGATGAGGTATTGTAACTATTTAACCATTTACATCGTTCAGACTTTTGTTCTCATCTTTATTGCCATATTCACAATGTTTCAGGTGTTGTATGCTCTGTTCTTCTTCAGGATCTGTCTATGGTGTATTGTAACTATTTACACCATTCAGACTGTTGTCCTTGTCTTTGTTGCTATATTCACAACATTTCGGTCATTGTACGCTCTGGCCTTCAAGTATCTCAAGGACACAAAGCCCAGTGGATAAAAGTATTGGTTGAATCCAGTGAGTTGACACAAAGAGTTGTGAGTTCAATACCTGGCTACAGCAGAGGTGAACAAAAACTTGGAGAATTGAGTTAAAGGGAGATAACTGATACCAAGAAAACTGGAAGAGACATGGCATGTGGAACTAGAAAAATCTACCTCAGTGGATGAAAAAAAGGGTTCAGTTCACAATTCCAATCACCTGAAGAAGGCCAGAGCATACAATGACCAAAACATTGTGAATATGCAACAAAGATAGTTCAAATGATGTAAACGGTTAAAAAGTTCCAATACCTGATCTCCGAAATATAGACAGATTTTGATGAAGGCCAGAGCATACAATGGCTGAAACATCATGAATATAGCAACAGAGATGAGGACAAGAGTTCAAAGTAAATAGTTACAATACCTGATCTCAGAAATATAGACAGATAAGTAATTGTTTGGTGAAATAAATTTTTTATCTTTATTTTTTTTTTTTTTTCAATAAATTTCTTTTGTAATTAAAGCCCAAACATATTGTTGTAACCTAGAAAGAGTTACTGAATGAGGAATAACCAAACAAAATAAATGATAATCTTTATAACATCAACAAAATGCAATACTCACCAGCGGTGTGAAGTAGATAAACCACAGCGAGTGGTGAACTACTTCGACAGCATATTATTCCTACTTACAATACCATCCAATATATTTATGAGGATTGGGACATGCACATTAGTGTTCATAGGTATGTATTTAACACATACATACATTTAAAGTAGCACCCTTAATTAAAGATATGATATGAACACATTTTCAGGGTATATTTGTAAATAAAAAAAACAAGCACAGGTAACTCTGTAAAAGTCAGTATAGGAATGCAAGCAACTTTTTTTCCAGTGTCTTTGTTTCCAGAACCATTCCAATAGATTTATGCAGATCACTTTAGACATATTTCGTGAGGACTTGTGTTGGTCTAGACCAGTGCTACTGTAAGTGGTGTTCTGTAAACTGGCATTGGTCTGTGGACCATCATCTACTGGTACACAGCCAGGAATCATTTGAAGCACTGACAAAAAAGCAGGCTCACCTTTTACACTTGTAAAGATTAAGGTTAAATAATTTTTGTGTTAATAAACAGCTTATTTTTTTTTTTATTACTTTTTTTTTATATGCTTTGATATTGAATTTATTGCAAAATAAATGGAAGATAAAAAATAGTCAACTTTTATTATACTCATTATATATGTTGTTTCCGGTATAAATTAATATTACCATGAAATATTACAGGTATGTGGCACATTGAGGAAAAACTGCCAGTCTGCCATATCAGATAGTTTGAGAAGCATTGGTCTCAACTTCTCAGCTCTTTTTTTTTTTTTTTTTTTTTTTTTTTTTAACAGTGAAATTGACAAGGCTGGGCAATTAAAAGTTTTCTTGAAGAAAACATGTCTCTTGGCGTGGATTGATCTAGATCCCTACCAAAAGGCACATTTTCTTTCACAGGACCTTTGATTGCTCATGCAGGTTGATGTCAATTTCAAGGATTTTTTTTTTTTTTTTAAATAAAAAAGCAGTTATGTCTAATAAAATAAATTAATAAGAAATGTTTGTGTGTGAATGTGTGCATTTTGCATAATGTATTGGAGTTTATGAAATTCAAGAAAAAAGGTATAGTCAGTGGTCAGGAATGAATGCAAGCATTACTGATAGAATAGGGCTAATTAAATATTGTATAATTACTAAAATGCATTGAAAATGAGGAATGATTTTACTATATGAATGCATTGAAAATGCATTGAATGAACTATAAGAATGCATTGTCATGGGAAGAAAGGAATGAATGAATGCATGCATTACTGATAGAATAGGGCTATTATATGTATAATGGAAATGCATTGCTAATGATTTTACTATAAGAATGCATTGAAAATGAGGAAGAAAGGGATTGTCAGTGGTCAGGAATGAATGAAAATGACTGATAGAATAGGCTATTATATGTATAATGTAAATGCATTGCTAATGATTTTACTATTGCATTGAAAATGAATGAAAGGGATTGTCAGTGGTCAGGGAATGATTTACTGATAGAATAGGGCTATTATATGTATAATGTAAAAAGCATTGCTTTGGTTTTACTATAGGAATGCATTGAAAATGAAGAAGAAAGGGATTGTCAGTGGTTAGGAAAGAATTCAAATATTAACAGAATAGATATTTTAAATGTATTTTTGTCTGTTTTGTAGGTTCCACCAATTTGCAGTGTGACTTTACAGGTAAATGCAGATGCAAACCAGGTGTGACAGGTGTCCACTGTGATAGATGCAAACCAAATCACTATGACTTCAGTGCCTATGGTTGCAGGTAAAAATTGTCTTGCTATCTCTTTCTTGAATCAACAGCTGTTAAACATGAAAATCTTTCTCCCTGTGAACAATTTGACTTGTTAGTGTATAGAAATTTCTTGAAATTAATTTTTAAGAGACAGGATGACAGATGAACTTCATTTAAGAGTGTTCTAGAGGAAAAAAAAAATGACATTAAAATACACATATTTGTATAGTAATGGCCTGCCACTCGTACACCTGTCTGCTCGGACAGCTACCCAATCCCTGTTGGAGATGCCTACTCAGGAATATTTGTGTTTGTTCAACACTCATAGAGACCACCTGAGGTTTATACTGCAATTATATACACCTTGCAGCAAAACCTCTGATCAGGCGATTAGAGGTTTTGAGGAGTGTGGCACAATCTCGTAATTGTTGTTGTTATCCTGAAGCTGTATTAAAGTTACAGCAACCGCCGTCTGTCTAACTCTCTGCATTAGCAGGAGGAACCGGATATAAGCTTTGCCGAAGGGCAAGGTTTTGTTCGGGGAGGTTGATAGTTTTGAACCCGCCTAGGCGGGTTCAAGCTATATTTTTCGCCGGGTCTATGAGCTCGGATTACCCACATTAAACTTGGCCTTGTGCCACATGCTACCCCACGTGGGGGGACAGCTAAATATAGCTGTTGTTCTCCTGTCCACAGTAACCCAGGGTGGTAGAACCTGTTAGGATCCCAGCCATGGGCAAATAGTTAATCCCCCAAACTGGAGTTAAAACACTATAAAACTATAAAAAAATGTTATGGTAAAAATACCAGTAATACATTTCTGTAAGGAAAAAAAAAATATTACCAGCAATATATTTTTGTAATAAAAAAAAAAAAAAAAAAATTACCGGGATTACATTTTTTGCAAAAGAAATTACTAATGCTCCCAAGAAAATTAAATTTTGGTATTAAATGACCCATAAGGAGTTGATGTGCAGTAAAACAGCTAGTCAATTCCTGCTGCAGATGCTTGCTCAGGAATATTTGCATTTGTTCAACACTCACTGGCTTTTTATGTTCTATTCCACCTTTCGGCAAAATTATGTATTCCTTAATTAATAAATGATTCAGTTTTTGTCTATATTTCTGCGATGAGGTATTAGGTACACTATTTACATTATTTGGACTATTGTCCTCATCTTTGGAGAGGTGCATTAATAAGAGATAACTGATAACTGACATCCATTAAACTTGGCATGTGGAACTAGAACAGTTCCAATGAATGTCAGTTATCTCCTGTTAATTCCCCTCAAGGATGCATGGCTCGTGGATAAATGCCTTGGTTAGATCCAGTGACAGGACCCAAAGAGTGTGAGTTCAATACCTGGTTAAGGCAGTGGAGAACTTAGAGAGGGGAATTAACAGGAGATAACTGATAACTGACATCCATTAAACATGGCATGTGGAACCAGAACAGTCTACCCCAGTGAGCGAAATAAAGGGTTCAGTTCGACATTTGAACCATCTGAAGAAGGCCGGAACGTACACCGGACGAAATGTTGTAATAAATATGGCGACAAAGATGAGGACAATATTTCTATTATTATCTGTCCCCTCCCCCTGACTCCCACATGCTGCTCATATTTGTTGTTTTTGTTATTGTTGTTTGTTATACCTCTTGATTCCTTGGAGAACATTGGGCTGTAATAACCCCTCTCCAATGGATGCCATTCCCAGCAATTCTCTTCAGCTTGGCCCATGTTGGGTCGGCTGCCTTCACCACTGCGTCAACACTTCTGCACTAAGTCTGTTTTGGTCGACCCACTTTTCACTTTCCTTGTGAATTCCAGTCAAGGGCCTGCCTGGTGACACTAGAAGCAGGTTTGCGGAGTGTGTAGCCGATCCATCCCCATTTCTTGATGTCAACATACATATCTATATATATATATATATATATATATATATATATATATATACACATTATTATCTATTTCTGTACATTTTTTCAGATGATATCTAAAACTAAATACCTAAAAAGTGGTAAAAGCTATTAATCTAATTTTTAGTGGCAATGCTTATCACATCAAACCCTAGCTTTCACACTGAGTCAATGTTGATTTTCTAAAAAAAAGTGAAAAATCAACCTGTCCTACTGTGACCTTCTCTGTAGTTGAGCAGTAAAGCACTATAATGTTTGAATTACACACACACACACACACACATATATATATGCACACACACACACACATATATATATATATATATATATATATATATATATATATATATACACACACACACACACACACACATATATATATATATTCGCACATACACATATACATATTATGCCTTATAATTCCTTGGGGAACATAGGGCTGCAACAACCCCTCTCCAATTGATGCAGTTCCAGGTGAACCTCGTCAGCTTGGCCCATGTTGTGTCGGCTTCCTTGACCTCTGCATCAACACTTCTGCACCAAGTCTGTTTTGGTCGACCCACTTTTCACTTCCTTTGTGGATTCCAGTCAAGGGCCTGCTTGGTGACACTAGAAGCAGGCTTGCAGAGTGGGTGGTCAGTCCATTTCTGTTTCTTCATGTCAGTCTTGATCAGGGCTTGTCTGGTTCTGTCCCACAGTTGGTCGTTGGAGACGACTTCCGGTCACCTGATATTGAGGATGTTCCTAAGACATCGGTTGGTAAATCTCTGAAGTTTGTGGGTGTTGGTCTTGGTTACTCTTCAGGTTTCCGAGCCGTAAAGTAGGAATGATGACGTTGGTGTCGAAGATCCAGATCTTGTTGTAAAGTGAGAGGACTATTGATCTCCAGATTAGCTGCAGAATGTTGAAAGCTTGTTCTGGTCATTGTTGCCTCCCTCAAATCTCTGTTGTATATTGGTGTATACTTTATGTACTAATCTTTTGTTATATTCCATGTTAATAAGAATATATACTTGACAAACATGCTGGATAAAATAAGTAAAGGTTTAAAAAACCAGTACAATAAGAAATAAGGTACAATTATGTACATGATCATCGCAAGTCAATCCAGTAGTAAGTGTTACTATTGGAAGGTTGGTAGTTCTCATGTAAGTCAGTCATACTCAACAGATCCCAGATTGACTCCTGTAGTCAGTTGCCTTACCGATACTTACATATAGTTACTACCTATAGTATAGTTACTCGTAGGGGTGATAGGTTATTCCATTACATCATCTTTGAATGTCATCAAGCACACCTGTATACATTTGTGTATATTATTTCAAAACTTAGGACCTTGTGGACTTCAGGTTTGGGCACAAGATAAAATCCTGTTTCTTCCCATTTTTAAACAAAAGGCAGACTTCGGTTTGCCCCAAACTTCATCTTTTTGTGGAGTGAGTATCCATGGTCAAATGCAAAATAAAGAACAGGACTGTCCAGCAAACTGAATTAACAAAGTTTGCAATAAAAATGATGTAATGGAATAACTAGTCACCCCCATGAATGATTACACTATAGGTAGTAAGTACCTATAAAGTCAACCATCTACGAGAGACTGAGAGAAGAGTGAGTGAGATGACGCAAGCATGTCCAACCTTCCAATTAGTGGCACTCACGACAAGATTAACCTGTGTATATAACTGTAACATATTTCATATTGTACTCGTTGTGTACTATAAACCTTTCTTCTATTATCCACCTGGTGTTATGTGTTTATTCCTTTAGCACGGAATGTAACAAAAAAGAAATGGGGCAAAAAGTAAATGATATCAAGCAAGCAAGCAAACAATATATGCAAGGCAGATTAACATGTAAGAAGGCAAAAGTTTATATATTAAGGATTGGCATTGACACACAAAAACAAGTTCGAACAAGCTGTCTTCCAGACAAGATACATCAGGACTGAGTCATGTCAAACTGCAAACTGGCCTATTTTATTGGCTGAGAAAAAAAATCCCAGCATGCATTTGTGTGGTTTTATCTACAAAAGGTGGTGGGGCAAGTGTTCTGCAGTCATTTCTAGGTAGTGAAATCAACATGATGGTAATGCCATTTTTCAATGAGTCTGTTGTCTGATGGTGTCTGGCTTACACAATTTGTGATGTCGTCTATGTAAGAGATGCTTGGAATGTTTCTGTAACATCTGAAGCTGTTATCATTTCAGTGATAGATGATTAGGGGTAAATTTTAGGGTTTCAGGGTGGGGAATTGGGATAACAGCTGTAAGATGCAAACTTTTGGCAGATTGATTTTTCAGCAAAATTTTGAAGTGTTTTAATTCATTTTTTTTTTTTTTCTCCTATCTTTTCAGGTCTTGCGATTGCGACCTTGCAGGAAGTTTTGAGAATCAACCGCACTGTGACACGATAACAGGAAAATGTAGATGTAAAGCAAATGTAGAAGGACAAAAATGTGACAGGTAGGTCGCGGCGGAAGTGTTGGGTGGGGGAAATGCAAAGTGAATGGAGATCAAAACTGTGTATATGGTGAGAGGGAGTCAATAGCTTTCACAATCATGGGTCTCTTTTCTCCTATATACAATAATAATGGCGGGAAAAATAGTTGGAGAAATGAATCTCCAGTGTCAATATTTATTTAATATGTAATACTTTTAATAATTCAACTGGACAATTTAGTCTTTAAGAATTATCTGAAATTTTGAGAAACATAAACACAAGTCAAAGATTTGTCTCAGTTGAAGCAGCTGCCTGGAGACTAAATGTATATGACAATACATATAATTTGTTCTTGATCAAACTGTTTACTCACTGCAGTAGATTGACAGTCTGAGTAAATTTGTGATAAAAGAAACTGTAAAATAGAGATCAAAGTAAATATTAGTCATAGAAATAATAATAATGGCTGACAATGCTTCATCTAATAAAAAATGAAGATGAAAGTAAATACTAGTCAAAAATTAATAATAATGGTTGACAATGCATCATCTAATAAAAAATGAAATTAATACTAGTCAAAAATTAATAATAATGGTTGACAATGCATCATCTAATAAAAGATGAAAGTAAATACTAGTCAAAAATTAATAATGGTTGACAATGATTCATTTGATCAAGAATGAAAGTAAATACTATTCAAAAATTAATAATTGTTGACTGCCTA